GCGAAGTAGAGACACACTTTCCGGACTGCCTTGCTGTCGGATTCGACCGACAGCAATAAGCGAAAAATGCTCTGCGCCTCCTCATCATCTACGACTATGTGACCGATGTGTCCCTGATGGTGTTGATCAGTGGGTCTAGTTTCTCTACACTAGCAGTATTTGTATTTCTGACACTAACCTTCAACCTCTTAAAAAGAACGAACTATGGTAAAGGAAAGAGTTGATGATCTAAGAACCACGAATGAGATGAAAAGCAAGAATGTTGACATGAAACACGTCGTGCTAAGGTCGGTATCATTGGCATAGGCTTCGAATTAGTGAGAACAGTGCTGCTTGAACATGAAGTGGAACTCTAACGACACCTACTAGAAGGAGCTAAAAGTTAGTCTGTACCTACAAGTTAGTCTGACACTGACTATCAACCTATGGTATTCATGAGCCACAAACTCGTTTAGTTTAAGTTCCACTTCATGAAGAATTCTAGTAGAGATGAAAAACAAGAACCACGAATGAAGTGAACTCTAACTACACCTAGTACTAGAAGGAGCTACAAGTTAGTCTGTAGCTGTACCTTCAAGTAGCGAGTCTTTCCGTTCGCATCAGTCAATCCTAGCAAATGGTAATACTTTTGCCAGATCTCATACTCAGCGTCTGCTAGATGGTCGAACAAGTTTTTTTTCGACGTTGCGGTTGCCGTTGCGTCGAGAGTACACTGCGTAATAAAATGAAGAAAGTGAAAGTAAAATTGAGTTGCTGGTAGAGTAGGAGTTCAGTTGTTTTGAAAGTGAAATTGAGTGTGGCATTGGCAATATGAAAAGTTCATATAATACTTGCACTTCTTCGACGTCACTGTTTATAAAGGAAGTCGATACAAGAAAGGAGCAGGGGGGGGGGGGGGGGGCCGTTCGGCCCTGAGTCATATATAGGTACTTCTTGTCGTCCTTCCTCCGTCTGAGGGAAATGATGTTCATGTTCCGGCATGACGTCCTTGGCTTCGCCGCAAACGGTGCTGGTAGAAGTGTTCATAGCCCTCACTTCAGAACCGAGCGCGTCTGTCATGACTCTTCTTCTCTGAGATTCAAGAGATCAAAGACGGTCGTGTAGATCCCCGTTTTCTACCGCGGGGTTATATGAGCAACCTTAGTAGTTAGACTAAATGCAAGATTTCGTAGCGAGTTTATTTCAGCAGTAGCGGGTTTATTTTTAGAGTAAGTTGTATCTCTTTAAAGCAAAAAGCATCGCTCACTCTTCTCATCCTGGAGTACCGTTTTTGTTCTCCTTCTCTGTCTCTTCCTCATGTCGGCGTCCACCTTTTTCTCCACGACTTTTCTCTAAGACTCTTGCTTCTCTTCAGGTTTCCTCGTAGTTTCTAAAGTTCATGCCTTCAACATGGCCCTCCTACACCTACTCCATTTTCCACTCCATCAGGAAGTTCCCTTGTTTCTCTTCTCTTTGCTCATCCAGATCGCCATGATCGTCGTTGATAAAGACAACGCAAGAACAATCGATGATCTTTTCCCCTAGAGGATCATTGTCTTCAATGAAGATCTTTTCCCCTAGAGGATCATTGTCATTCGATTTCATCTTCGTCCATCAAGATCGCAGGGTCGGCACCTTCGCCCCTTGTTGTTGTAGCTGTTGTTAATCTTCGTCGACCAGTAGATAAAGCAGGGTCACGAAGTCTACCCTTCTACTATCAGAAGTCCCCTATCAACAATATACGCAAGCATGTGAACAATCATGATCAATTTTTTCATCTTCGTCCATCATCAAGATCACAAGATCTTCATCTTCAGTCTATCCTCATATGTGATTCGATTTCATCTTCGTACTTTCTTAGGGCAAAATCGAGTTTCTCGTTCATGCTGCTCCACTTAGCCCGCGCTTGATCCACAGCGGCTTGCAGTGCATCTGCCGCTTCCGCAATCTCGTTGACAGCTGAGTTCTTGCGTGCTGGGGTTAGACTATAATGACCCTGAACAAATTAGTTAGTACAAGAGAGATGTAGAAGAAGCAGAAGATGTAGAAGTAGAAGATCTAGTTCTAGATTTCTAGATGTAGTTGCAACATGAGCATGATGAGCAAGTACTTAGTTGGAGGTCATCGATGAGCAAGTAGATCACGTCGGACGATGGAGATGGACAAGTGCTGCAGGTACAACATTGCGTGCTCATTCAGCTGTTCGCATTGTTTAAATATTACGGCTAGAGCGACAGGTACCAGGAGCTACAGGTAGAGATCGATACTATTTCTATAATTTTTACTAAGACTAACTATCGAAAAATAAAAAAACTGTGACCACACGACCAGACATAACAATGCTTGTTCTTCATCTAGTGCTCGCGAGGCTTCATGAATCTCGTCGCCTACCATGGTAATTTCCTCGACCATTCTTTCTCGATCTTGTTGCTTCTGGATGGAGACCTGAGAATGGATGCAAGATTTAGCTGTGTTCTTAGTTCGTCTACTTCGACGTTATACTAGTACCAACACATAAGATCATTATGAACAAGAAACAGAATGAGAGAGTTCAGGTTCAAGAAATCTTCACAAAGCGAATAAAGAATCTTCATCGATCAACAAAACCAAAAGAAAAAGGATAAAGCAGCATGTACTTGTTCTATTTGCGCTGCCAGCGTCACCAAGCGATCTTGTTGCGTTCTCTCTTCCCTTTCAGATGCATGAAAGTCGGCTCTTCCCTCTTCCAGTTCTGCCTCTAGGTCCTTGAGCGCGAGCTCTTGGGTATTTCCCTGCTCCACCAAGTTCTGACACTCTCGATTGCGATCCAGAAATGGGTATTAGATCATCGTGGGAGCTGCGAAGGCAGCTGTCTCTTCTTATTCACTGGCGTTCTGAGAGCGCGATGCAATAAGGGTACAACTTACGAGACGATGTGAAAGTGTTGCTGAAAATAAGCTCAAGCGGTTCGTTTTTCCTCATAAAAATTACACCTCTGTGTCGCACGGTCTGCTTTGGAGGCTTCTTCGGTCAAAAATTCGCAATGCTTTTCGAGAGTGGCTATGCGTTCCTCCTTACTTCGCACTGCGACACGCAGATTTTTGACTTCCTGCACCAATTTGGCTGGATCCATATCCGAGATGACACCACGCCGCAGAGAAGAGATAATGTATGAAGGAGGGGAGAGGGGGGAGCTGTGGATGAGGAAGCAAGGGACGGCGTGAACGAGAAGAACGATTGACTTACTTTGCAGTATAATGATGTTGAAGCTCTAGTTCTACTAGCACGAGTAGTGTTTGCAACTTCATCTTGTAGGTGGTAAGAATAAAGCTCAGACAAGCGCGTCACATCAGAGCATTTCTCTCTGACAAGGAACCCTTGTTCTCTGACAAGGAACCCTTTCTGCAGGTACGTCCACGCTCGTTGGGCCGATGGTGGTAGCCAAAGGAGACCAGGGTGAAGAGCAGGGGGCTGCTGTGTAATGTTTGGGAATCAGTATGATGGTGATGAAGATGATCACGCTATATTTGCGAAGGCTGTTGATGAAGATAGCACTACACGCAATGACCTGGTTGCCACTTGATTCAACATTCCCCTCTTAGTACATCTAGTACCCAAATTATAAATACCTGGTGCTTGAATTAGCTTTCTTCTAGTAGTACTCAAATAAATACTAATACCTGCTGGAATTAGCTTTCTTCTAGTAGTACTCAAATAAATACTAACACCTGCTGGAGTTGGCTTTCTTGGCTCCAGATCGTCGCCCGGCTCCTCCTCAAATCGTCGGACATTCTCAGGCTTTGCTTTTGGCTTGACATCCAAGGTGTAGGCTATCTGTGCAGTGGTGCGAATGCATGGTAGTTGTCTCGTCAACGAGTCATTCCTGAGCTACAAGTTGTAGCGTCTTTGTTCTTATTTTCCAACAAACGTACAACTTCTACAACTGTCACGGATGAGTAATATCATGTAAGCTGTACCACAACAGACTACCACACAAGCAAGCAATATGTACCACTTTATGACTGGAATCGCGAATGCGTTCTTGGATAGCTGCGCGCATCCACGTGTTATACGTTTTCGAGTAGTATTCGCACTCATTATCATCCTCACGTGGTTGCTTGTGTATCTTTATCTTACTACCTGCGACGTTGTACTTCATCTTAGAAGGAAGGGTGGGGTTCGGGGCTGAACAAGTTGACCTCTATATTCGATAAACTGACTTAAGCAAGAACGAACTACAGACAAGAATATCTATATCAACCGAGATCATACTGAAAGAGGAAGAGTAGCCTTGTAAAAGCTACGCCCCTTATTTCAGTCAGTAACTCGTCGATTATTTCTATTTTTCGCATATGTCCTTGATAGTGCCAAAATCTATGCCTTAACAACAGTACGAGCAGTGACATTCCCAGCGCCACTACTTGGACTTGGCTGCGGCACCATTTTTGCTGCGAAGTTGGTGGTACCAGGTGTTACGGTTGTTCTAGATCACGCGTGAAGAAGAAGTAATTGAGGTAGTTCTTCTTAGGGTAGATGATGTCCTGATCCTGAACCACGCATGTGCGTGAAAAAGTAGTAGTAGTAGTAGACGTGGTAGATCTAGATTTCCTTATGGTTGTTCTACCAGAGGAGGAGGATCTCTAGTACGCATGAAGATTTAGTTCTTTATTTGGTAGAAGAAGTTCTCCTGGTCCTGATGGCGGTTCTCCTCTTCGTCAATGTCCTCGTACAAGACAGATCACGTGGTCTCTGAACATCAAGTAGGAACACAACAGGCCCACCACGTCGTCGCTGAAGTGATGGTCGTGCTCGTCTAGCAGCTACTATTGCTCGTACAAAAGTTATAGATACGTACGTCACAGGTCGCTTTTAGTTTTCGAAGTCGTGAGGGCAAACAACCCCCTTGAGCGGTCACGGTGTTCTTTCCTAATGTCCGACTTGGGTTCTTCTCTCCATCATCTTCTGTTGCGGACTGGTACAATAATGCGGGCGCTAGGCGGGATGTTGATGCTCTTCAAGTTCAAGCCCTTTTACTGAAGATCGTTCTTCCTCTACAAGATGAGAAATTCTCTGACTCACAACCACTTTCATCAGGCATCATCGGTAGCAGGAGCATCTCCTCGTCCTCTCAGAAGGACTTTGAAAGACCACCACGTCACGAGGCTGAGGTAGAAGTAGAAGTTCTATCTTAGTTGTACAAGAAAAAGAATGTTGAAGTGCCTTTGGGTTTGCTTCTTGTTATGTACTATTCACGTCCTGACTGGTCCCATTCCGATTCCCGCAATGTTTTCCGTGGTCTTGCGGCCTCTTTTTTTCTTGATCATGAGCAACTTTATTGCACTTCCTCTGTTAGTAGTCTCCGTGTGACAACGTAGTGCTACATCGAGCTAGATCTTCTAGAAGCTAGTACGGCTTGTAGTACTATACAACTTAGCTAAAGCACGCCAAGGAAGTCACAGATTTCATCTTGCACTTCCACTTGTAGTTCTGCGTAATCGTCTCCGCACATCGTCGTTTTCGTCGTCGTAGTGAGAGTAATGATCTCGTAATCTCCGCTGCACTACAACTTCCTGTGTCACACAACTGGTTCGCTGGCTACAACTACAAGAATCGCGAAATACTCGGAGTTGTTCGAAAAAGGTCATGCTTCATCTTCTTTATGACCACAACCATAGCAGGTATAGGAAAAGCTACTTACTTGATGTACTGGACGCTTAACAACTAGAACTACTACGTTGTACAGCCTTCTTTTACAACTGGTACTTTCTCGTCCACTTAAATTGTTATCACAAGGAATCCAAAGCCAAACTCTTGCTGATCTTCATGTTTACATTCGACATCCTACTGGAAATCGACCTCTACTTGTGAGATTGCGGACTACAACCACCACAACATCTGCTCTTCGTTCCAGTACAGAGTTGTTCATTGTTCGCCTTGTCAGCATCAGAGTAGCGTTTTTAAAAACATCATTCATCTTCTCTTTCAGCAGTGGCGCTTTTGTCTCCACGAAATCGCTCGACTATTGTTTGGTTATCTCTCGGTCTTTTCTTTACTCTCTATGCAGAAAGAGAGACATGACTTGACATCAGCATCTCCTAGATTATAGGGATTTTTTTCTCACAATCTTCGGATTGAGTGAATTTCCTTTCCCACTCTGCTTCATTGATCTACCTTTCCGATGTCCGTAAATGATTGAGTATGGACATCTTATAATCTACCGTCTTTATTGGGTTCGAGGACATCTTACAGCCAGAGGAAGACTGAGGGACAATTTCATATTCAATAATCTGTTTGCTCAGTGTCAAGGTGAGAGAATCCGATACAGCCAGTTGGTGGCTGAGGCTATGCTGGACTTGTTTAGTTGCTAAAAACATGCAAAGCATTAGTAATGATGATATTGTTCCTCATTTTAGATCTAGTCCGACTCTATTTTTCATACCACGTACTTATGTAAAATTTGTAAAAAACGGAATGGCGAGGAACTCCATCAGCATCACGGTAAATATAAAAATTATGCAATCGAAAAAAGACACGGCTTCTCATGAAATATTTCTTGCTTTGTCGAGTCTTTTCGTCGCCGAGAACGTCATTATCGTTAATCATGCACTCCTGTAGTAATCGTTCTTCCCGTTGAGATGCATTCGAGATTCCGCCATTGCAACATTCTTCGTAACATCCTTGCCCTCTTTTGTTTTTCTATTGAAAAACGAGAGAAGGATGGTGGAAGTCAGAGATGCAAGATGATGGTAACCCATAAATATTCTATAGTCTTCGATGAATCCTTGATTTCGTCTGGATCTGCCTTAATAAACAAAAACTCGATCACAATTTTTCGGAAAACCGCCATCTCTTTCGTGCCAGATGATCGATCCAGTTCCGTTGTGCAAAATACTTCGAGAGCGCGACTGTTTCTAAGATTCAAGGTCTCAAACCTCTTGCTGTACATTTGTAGGGCGTTGTGTACCTCTTTAACAGACACCCATTCTGATGACGTCGTGTACTGCTCTCGACCTGCTTCTCCTCTGAGAAAATTATGACGCCAGTTGAACTTACCTAGTTCGACAGCGCGTGGTGGGTCCACAAGATCACTACGGATCTCATTCTGGAAGGCGTCGCCGAAGGCTGTAGTAGTTAGTCTGTCGCCATTTTCTCCTCTTGTTCGCTCGACAATGCCGAACTTGTCCTGAAGATCTACTTTTACTTCCTCTGTTCGTTTTACTTCTTCGGTGACTTTGTAGTCGTAGCGGCACATCTGCAAGAACATCGCCTCAGTCAGCAGTTCGATCTGTTCTGTGTGGGACAGTGGACCTTCTTCATGATCTGGTCCTGCAGCCTTGGGAGCTACGAACGATACACGAGATGCGGGAGTTTGGCATCATCACCCAGCCAGCTTTGAGACGTAGTGGGGTCGACGCTCCAGTATTTTTCAAAATCTTTTAATGAAAGAATGGCGCCATTAATTAAGAGTGTTGTTATGAGACTGTCGGCTCTTGTCCTTGTTCCTCAAGCCTAGGCCAGTGGTCGGAGCGCTGCTAGCCGTCGAAATTCTCACGCCTTCACTCTTAATAAATGAAGCCATACGGCCATCCTGATCACCTGCACATTTCGCTTCTCTTGGTTTTCGAGTTTTTCGTTCGGTGATCTCAGTATTTTCGCTAGTGTATCGCGAGGGATAAAGGGGACACCGTTCTTGTGCCTGGCATGGCTTTTCATATTGATTCGAATTTCGTGCATTTCCAGCGGCGGGTGATTTAGCTCTTCTAGTGGCAGGAGTCCTGCTTGTACTTGCGGTTCCGTCAACGCCGCTGGTTGTGCATTCTGCTCTTGCTGATGTTGCTCCACTCGTTCTAAAACTTGTTCTACTTTTTGATGCAACTCCCGTATTTCCTGGGATATTACTGTCTGCTGTTCTTGTAAAACTTGTTTTACATCCTGACGCAACTCCTTCATTTGTTCTTGATGGGATACTCTAATCTGCTGTAGTAGGTCTTCTGAAGAAACTTTGTCAGAAAATACCTCTTCTAATTTTGCCACTACTCCATTCACTACTCCATCCTGTAGTTGTTGTTGATGCGCGACAATGATATCTTTCAAGTCTGCGACAACGTCCCTGCGTAAATTCCAAAAACTTATGAAGAAGGGGAGTGACGAGTAACAGTGTAGGCAATCAGAGTAAGCAGTGGTGACATCTTCAACCTATGGCTCCTATCTTTAGAGGCCGTCGTCTAGCTGCTATCTTGAATAGGAGGCGGTCAGGATCTCGCGGTACTAGAACAAGTGAGCCTACTACATGATTAATTCATAGCCTGCCATATGACCCCCACCAGGAAACGATGTTTCCACGGCTTCTCTTTCTGTGAAACTCGAAACCTTGCCACTTGGAGCCACGGATATCAACGAATTCGGTGCCTCAGCAAAGTCTTCGCCTTCAATAGTATCGGTCTCAGGTGAGTCGTCTGGATCTGCAGGTAGTGAGCTTATCACAATTGTCATATTGTTTATCGAGCTTGGTTTTGGTTTATACTTCTGGAAAGGTACAACTAGGGTTTCTTGAAGAAATGACTTACTATAATCATCTTGTCTACTTCTTCAAGTTGTTCAGGAGCTATAATAAGTAGAACAAGTTAGAAGTAGATGAAGCTGAAGCACAAGTCGAAGAAGGTACTAGTTGATCGAATTTTTCCAGACTACAAATTATATAGTTTTATCAAGTAGTACGATTGTGATCCGCTCCACCACACGCATCGGCATTATTGCCATTTTTACATGCCTCACCGACAGCATCAAACATGCTTGGATTCCCGTTATCACGTGACTGTACGTCAACCACCTGCGAAAGCAATGCTGGGATCACCACACGCACAAAAATATGCTTACCACGCCAACGTTGTGAGCAGTTGTACGTCGTTGTTGTAAATAGTTTCGGGAGACGATGGCCGCGCCTGTTCATATTTCAATCACGTATGAGCACACTCGTCCAACATGTTATTAGAGTAATCGGAGTGCTGTTCAGTGGAATTGAAATTCCGAGTCTTGAACTTTCTGTTGATCTATTATCACCGAGTAAAATCCAAACCCACGACACCAGGAAGGTATTACTACCAGCCGTCTCCCTTTTGATGCTCTTGTGCGTCGGAATCGGACATCTCCTGCCTGTCCTTGTTAGAGATAGAGCTGCTACCGCGTGCGTATCAAATTTTGTGGCGAGAGTACAGTTGTCATCTTTGGCCATGGTCATGTACTTCATGTCTAACCCTCCCTGGTCAATTTTGCAGCAATTCTTACACAGAGCAACGGACCCCGCCTCATGGTAAGCATTTCCATCTTTCGCTAATTCAACATGTTGACAATGAAATCAGCGAAGACAAAGATGAACTGTTGGTATGCCTTTTTGTATTTTTCTGGAATTGAAAAAAAGAAGAATCAAGATCAACTCTATTTCATGAGAATCGTTGTCGTTGGACTTCGACAATAGCCATAATCATTCGGTATAGCAGTGAAGAGCTCTTTCCAGTAGTGCCCGAGAAATTCCCTTCCTGATGTTAGAGCGTCAGTCTGAGAGTGAGAGAGAGTGATCCTAGTACAATACCAAAGCGCACAATTCTTTTAGAAGTACTGTCAGTCTGTATCTGAAGAACGCATACGGACCCTAGTAGGTCGTCGCCGTGGAGCAAAGATGATAGACTGTGAGTGTGACTGGCCATAATCTTCGATGAACTTGAGCAAGTTGTCTATGCATCTGTCCGAGTTGAGTAGCCCACTGTACCCACTACCAAAGTCATTACCTCGTCGCCGTTGCTTCTGAAAATTCGGAGAGAGTACTTCGAAGGTCCAGCTAGTTACTGGTATAATGATAATCCCCTATTAAGATGTCTAGTTGCTTATACAGCTTCTCAAGTATTGTTTCTTACTCGACTTCAAAATCAAAAGAATATTGAATCTATTATTAAGCTATAATTTTTCATCTTTCTAAGGTACAAAAACTGTAACGCGCGCGCGCGCGTTACGCGCGCGGGTTACGCGCGCGCGCGCGTTACGCGCGCGCGTTATAACGCGTTACGCGCGCGCGCGTTACGCGCGAAATAAGGCGCGCGCGTTACATGCGCGCGGCGCGCGCGC